GGGTGCAGAGGAGAGATGAAAACCGCTGCCGAAGAGACGCCGCGGCTTTAAACGAAGGACTGACAAAGAGGCTCCAAAATAATACACAATAAAAACGGACAGCAGGAAAAAAATATATATATATATATATAGACTGCCCAGGACAGCGGGGGAGAAGAACCGGTGAGGAAAGGTTGTAGTTGTGCAGATTTGAAGGAATAAAAGACAGAATGCTAAATAAAAAGTGATATTCGGCTGTGAGACGGGGATAAAGGGTTGACGAAGACGGACCAAGGGAATGATAGGCGTGGACGGAAACAAAGCGGGAGAGAGAGAGGGGAAGAGAAAGGGGAAGAGAAGAAAAGAAAGGGAGACGCGGCGCTCTCCCTGGGAACCTCGGAAAGCAGCTCTTGTCCAATAAACACAGGTGAGCAGCTCGACGGGCCAGGACCACCGGGCTGACTGACAGCTGAGAGCTCTCACTGACCGCCAGCTTTATGTTACATGACATGACGAGTGCAGCTCCACTGACAGAGGAGAACCTGCCAGCATCTCTCGGAGTATGGCAGGGAGACGGGTTGGCAAAAGTACACACACACACACACACACACACACACACACAGACACGAACGCACTTGTGCACACTGTGCTGTTTTAAAGGGGGCGTCCACACACTGTGGCCACACTGTTGCAAACACAAAAATATCCACTTTCTCGCACAGACACACACACACATAGACGGGAGAAAGCCGTACTGGTTCTCTTCACAGGTGAGCAGAAGAAGGAAACACTCCGGTGCTTCAGTTACTTAGCGGGGGAGAGTGAGGGGGGGGGCAAGAGGGGGGAAGTGTGTGCCGAATGTGTGCCGACCGAATCTTTTCCACATGACGGGCCTCGGGCTGTTTTTGTCAACGGCACTCCTGAGCGGCAAGGAGTCAGGTAGTGTGACCACATGATTGCCCATGAGGCATTGTGGTGAGAGAGGGAGAAATTGGGAGAGAGAGAGTGAGACAGGGAGAAGGATCGGTGGGCCGGGGACAGGACCGATGCAGCACGCATGATGAGGTGTAATCACAAACCCCATTCAGAGTGCAGTGGAGTTTGTCAACATACACACATTCACATTCCACTGTCTGTCAGCTCCTTGACCCAAATCGAGCATGTTGTGTGTGGGCGTGTGTTTGTTTTCACACACACACACACTCACACGAATGCTTTCTGGGAAATTTCATCTCCACCCAGGTAGTAACAGCTGCACCGTGTGAGGACTTGTGGCCTCTGGGGTAAAGGATTTTTCATTGGTTGTGATTGTGTGGTTTGATTTGAATGTTTCACAAAAACAAAAAAGATGGGAAAAAGGGAATGAGGGAATTTTAATTGTCATTGTTAAGCCAGTGCCAATATGTTTTTTTTTTATAATATCAATGAAAAAGTTGCAGTGGACAAACAATAAACTCTTGAATGAACCTTTTGAATGCTTTGTCATTACATTTACATTTGAAAGAAACAAAATCTCATTAAAATACATAAAACATGCACAGAGCAAACAATCTCATTTGCATTCACACAAATCTGCTTTATATCTTAACACTCAAACGATTTTGAGTAATCTTACTCCACAGGAATACCTGCAGATAACATTTAACATGTGCCAATATAAAAAATCCCTTTCCCGTGTTGGAAATGTCTCAAATGCAAAGACTTCAGCATCGCAGATTGTCTGCCTCGTGTGCCTTCTCTGAGATTAATACAACTGGGTTCAAATAATGCACATTTAGTTGATGTCATGCTGACAGTATCCTTGTAAAAAAAAAGTGGAGTGAGAAGGGCTAACATAAACTCTGGACTATGTGTGCAGGCTAAAAAACGAGGCCGCGTGACAGTTTGGCGATAACACTCGAGTTCAATCTGTCAAGACAATCAGCATTCAGACCTCGGGAGAAGAATGTGCGACTGTGTGCGACCGATCCTCTGGACACGATCACCTGCGAGTGAAGCCACCCATAATTCTTCCCACCTGAAATAAGGAGTTCAAACTAATGTCAGGCTGCTCTGATGTCATGCCTGCCTCGGCTTGAGTTTCACAATAATCTCGGGCTCTTGGACGGATGCCATCGACTCCTGCTTCCGCACCCAGGCTTTCTCCAATTAGATTGCAGGGAAAGAATAACAAGTGAAACACTCGATTCCCGCTCGTTTAACGAAATTAAGGCGGTGCGTGCGGTGTTTGCAATCAGTCGGTTCTAAGGCAACAGGAGGTGTAGATATGCTTATTGTATGCTGAGGCAGACTTTGCCGAGGTTTAAGTGTATCTTTTCCCCGCCCTGAATATAATTTCTCTGTAACAAGAAAACAAAACAAAAAAACACAAAGAGTCGGCATATTGAATCAAACTACTGGCTAAATAATGTAGTAGGGGAAAAAGAAAGAAGATCGGAGCAGTATAGGCAGCCACTAGGATCAATAGATCCATTGAGGCGCCTTTATCTCTCCTTAAGAAATGATGACAACACTCACTACGAGCCTCCTCACCTCCCCACTTTCTAACTCCATTCTCATGGCAACGGTGCACTCTGGACAAACACTCTCGGTGCAATCTCTTCGCCTCAGTCCTCACCGTCTGGCCGGGCATCCTTTCTTGTTTTTTTTTCTATTCTGTCGCTCAGTCATTTCTCTTCCACATCAGACGTCCAAGATAATTGCCTGACACTTGCCAAGAAAAGGTATAGCATAGAAAAGGGGAGGGAATCTGAAATGTCCATATGGAGTCCGAGGTCTGGACTGAATTCAGCCTTGTTATGGTTTTAAATGTGCGGTGGGTTTCATATGGGGCCCTCAGCGGCAAAGAACCACGGAAAAAATGCTGGAAAATATATGTCACAGGTGGGAAAAATACTTCCCCTGCGGACATAATTTAAGCACAATTCCGGAGTCTATTTAAAAACAGGACGGCTCCAAATTCCAGAGATCAGCAAAGTGCAGGACATCATTGGTAGATCCCCCTTTGCTCCAATTTGCTCACAGCACGGCACTATCAGAGCCCAAACCAAACCTCATTAAATCGAAATATAGACACTTGGGGAACTTCCAAAACTTTGCAACTCTCCTTCGCTCTTGCCTAAGTGCGAAGACAAAACAGTTGACCATAGAGAGAAGGGCGCAGGAAGAACAGCGGCAGATCCTTGGGACCGGGAGTAAAAGGAAGGGAGAGAGGGAAAAGTAAACCTTTGATGAGTAAGACTTTTTTTGTTAAGCGAGGGGGCTTAACTTTAAAATATTCTGGGTGGCGGTGAATGGGGGATTGACCATTGGCCCTGATCTCAGCCACACACTGGGGCACTGGGGTTAATGGTGGATAAAGATTAGAGGGGGCGGGGGGGTTCCTTTGCCTGATCTCCGTCCACCCCCACACTCCACTCCACAGTTTTCACCTTCTCCACCAATCCCTAACCAGCTAGACAATGGAGGCCGCCAATGGGGAATGATCCAAGGCCCTTTGATTTCTGCTTCTACCCCCTCGACTGCTCCGAGTGTCCTGGGTAAAGATCCGTAGAGGTTCCCCCGTTTGCCCACTCAGAGCGACGACAGTAAGGGGGCTCAGAGAAACCATTAGAGGATTGAAAGTGGAATGACAAGAGGTTTCTGATCTATGACAAGAAATCAATTTCAAACTGGAAATGTGAGCAGAGGGCCGTTGAGTCCAAACTGCAGCTTTTTTAAAGCAGCCAAAGATATATTTAATTGCTGTAGACTTTTATATATGTCTACATTGGAAGTATTGCTTGCAGTGTTGGGGCAATTAGACTTTTTTTTTTTGCAATGATTAGAAGGTCTTTTTTAGGCCAGCAGATATGCAGTAAGAGTTCATCTTTGAAGATTTAAGTGAATACCAGACAAATTAAGTACTAATATTTAAATCTCTTTTAGGTGGAAAGAGAAATGCGGACTCTACTTCAGTCTGGAACGACAGGACTCTGGGGGAGGAGGACTGGGTTCCACAGCCGAGCCACACAGATTCTTCACGCCTGACCCATACACTTTAATCATATCTGTACCTCAAAGGTGTTCTTCATAATGATGTATGGATTTCCTCCCTTAGGTCAGGAGGGGAATATCTCAATAAACCTGCGGCCTCAAAGCAAACAGACAGTTTCCAGCTTTGAACTAAACATCTACTCTACTTTTATATGAAGCCATTATACGGATCCCTGTTGTGTGGAGTGATTGGGCAGAAAAGGATTAAAACAAATCAAATCATAACTGACTGCTGCGTGACATCACGTGGAACATAACTGAAGCAAGTCATTCTGTTAAAACATTCACACACGTACCAAATATAGATTATCCCCTGGCTTCCCGTTTACTTTATATACTGCCAAACAAACACATCAAAAGGGTTATTGTGTGTCGTCTTACCATCACCATGGAAGTGCTTGGAAATATGTTTGTATGTGTGTGTACTATCGTGTGCCATGGATGCATGAGTGCATACGAGGGCTCTCGTCAATAGAGCGGCCATGGCGGAGGTATAATTGGCGAATTCCCATTACCTCAACTTGGATTCCTCACACTCGTTTGCGGACTGACCGGGTGACAAACGCCACCTTGTGTCATTAGCTCGGAAAAAGGAAGCCATCTTTTACGGTGTTTTGCAGAACTACAAAAGGAGCAGGATCGATAAAGTCTTTATTCGTAAAATATCGACTGCTTAACAGGTAACCATTGATACCACTCAAATATTTTCACTCAGACGTGAAAATGTGCATTAAAGGCACTTTAGTAAACGGTTGTGTATGAAGTCAGGTCCATGAACTAACAGGTATATTTTTTTCGTACACTTTTTTGAGCACACAGGATTGCGTAACCCTGCAGCCAAACCCCACCAGCAGTTATGACTGATTTAGCTTTTTACAGTGGACACATCTTTCTGGCGGGAGAGAGGGGTGGAGGGGGGGGGGGGGGGTGACGGAGGGGGGGTAAACACCAGGCATGCAAAGACAAGGAAAACGGGTTTCACTTACCACTTTGGACTTTACAGTGTGTGTTGTCTGTTTTTTTCTACGGGCACAGAGTGTGCATATTTCATCCTAAAAGAAATAAACAGATAGATGTTTTTACTTGAAACATGAAACACGTTGCTCCGTCTCTGCCTTCTAGTTTCTGTAGCGCCGGAGTAGAGAAATACACGGCAGAACGCCGCTCTCTTCATTCGGTTCTGTTCGGCTACAAATCTCAATCAAGACATCAGCAAAGTAAATCCGAGCATTCGACAGCCATAATGCATATCATAACTTCTGAGCTAGAGTAGATTGAAAATCCTTGGGGTGTGAAAACCAAACAGGCACAACTGAAAGGTTGCCCAGTGGAGGGGGAATTCTATCAAGGTGGACAAGATGAAGATTTGTAACATTTGAGTGGGGAACCGTGGGCCCCCCTGACCTCCACTAGCCAATACGATCACCTGAACACAGTGGGGCTAACAATCCTGTAAAACAACATCCAAAGACACAGTGGGGGTCATAATAAAAATGAAAAAAAACCTGATTGAGTTTGTTTCATTTAAAACAAAAGAAATACACGCCTTAAAGGAGTTATGCTCGGGAAGAGGAATGATCTTGAACAGTGAAAGCAGTACACTGATCCCTCAGAAGACACTGTTAATGCTGGTGTAATCTCTCCCAAGGTTAAGGATTCTTTGACAAATGGACACGAGGGGACCATGTTGAGATACTCACCCTGAGGGAGAGAACTTGCTGTTGTTTTCCGTCACAGGAGCAGGAGGAGTCCAGCGAAGTCGGCTATCTGAGATCACACAAAACAGAAAGTATACCATTAGTCCAAAGCCGCTCGTGAACGACTGATCTCTTTGGATGTTTCCCAGGTACGCTCAGTGCTGCTGTGGACATGTGTGGGCTGGATTGTGCCTCGCATAAATATTGTCTGTATGGCGCGTTGGAGAGAGCAATAAACTTTGCAACAACAAAGTACACCTGGATTTTGCTCTGAAGCATGACAGCTTAGATGTGTGTGTGTGTGAGTGAGTGCATGCACAAACAGGCAACAGACAGTACAGTTAAAACTATGGAACCCCCATCCTCCCTCAACCCCATCACACACACACACACGCAAACTCTTCACGCTCTCAAGTTAAAAGGTGGAGTGCCTGCAAGGCACAAGCTCTCAACGCCAAGTAAATCACACTGTTAAAGTGACACGATTGATCGCTCATGTACTGTGGGTCCATTCAGCTGTCTACATCTAAGTACGCATGCTATGGCGTCCCCTATGATTTAGAGGCCATTAGTATTGATGATTTTCAATGCGTTGTGCCCACATCCACGGCAGTAGTGGACGATAACACAACCGCAGCTCGAGATTAGCGTGGACAGTTTCACTGCACAAAAGGTGTAGAATTCGGGAGAAACTAAATAAATAATTCCCCTCGTTGAAGAGCGTAGTGGGGGCCTAAAACGGCCTGGACGTTCCCCTCCCGAGACCTTTCTTCTTTTTCTTTTTTTCCCTTGCTCCCCTTTATTCTCCCGGAATTCCAATGACCCCTACAGGCACCCGACGACTGCTGAATTTTAAGGAATGTGCTCTCTGAACTGTACAAAGAGCCCCCAGCTCAACAAGCACAGCAGAAAACAAAAACATGCCAGCTGCTATTATTCTGCAATGTTTTGAGTTTGTGGTAAATGTTGCACAGATTGCTGTGCAACATTTACTCGTAATGGGGTGAGAGGGTTTGAGGTAGGAGCGGGCGCATGCCGATGGACTGGAAGCTGGCTGAACCGACGTGAAAAGATTTGCCCAAGTTAGACTTCTAAAAAATTGTAAAGTTGTAAAATTGTATGATTCATTTTTTTTTTTGCGTCTACATATCTACACATTGAACAACCGAAAATAAAGTGATAAGATCAACAAAACTGGAAAAGATGCAACGTGGTTTTTCATGGAATGACTGCAGCTGTCAACCTTAATGTGACATAAAGGGAAACAGATAGTTTTAAATATGATTGAGATGTAAAAGCCTATTCCAAGTTAATGCCCCTTTACTTCAAATGATTTACTGCCAAATAGACTTCAATATCACAACACCTCTGGGCTGTGCAGATGTCATATTTTATTCACTGGAAAAGCATTAGGAATGCTATTAGTCTGAATGACCTCCAATTCGTGGGGATTTACAAACACCACACATATCTTTGTTGAAATATACAAAACCACTGGTAAATTCTATCAACTTATAAATACGGCAAATGCATTCAAGTATTCATGAAGGACTAATAATGCTATAGGCTGATATTTACATAAAGCGTTCGTGCACTAAGTCAAGATAAACTATTTAAGACCCGGACCACAAATGCTTCCACACCGCAGAAAAAGGAGCGTCCTGCGATGAAAGAGGACATTATGCTAACAAGTCAGATTACTCTGTACACAATAACTTTATCTTAAAAGTAAATACCATCCTCGGTGTTGGAAAAGGAGTGAGGGGGAGGGGCGGGTGGGCATTACGCAAAGTCACTGGCAATATTTCTATGGGGACCAAACGCTCCTTATCAGTGTTAGTCGAGCAATTCAGGCCCGCCCGAAGAAAGATGAGTCTTCAAACTCATTCTATTCATGGTCAGACGTGTAATTACCCTCAGCTCACAGTCTAGACGTAACCGCTTTCACAGTATTTAAGACCCCCTGTGCAACGTGCGGACGCCAGATCCTACCACCAAGCCCTGCACGTTAAATCTGCGGCCAGATAAATTAGCGAAGAATGCAATAAAATGGACACAATGAGAGGAACTTTATCCTCCTCGCTGCTAAATGAGATTTCTTTGAAATGCAGATCAGTGGGTCTAGATTAGTGAATTTTAGCTGCTGTCAACATCATAACAAAATACAAATGCGATTGTTCGCCGGTGCCTTATCTCCTTGCTTCCATCTGTTGGCTGGTTATTTACTCCCCCCTGATTTACTATGCAGATCTAAATAAGTCTCATCAAAAGGGGGGCTTACTGCACAATGCCTTCTTAAGCTTCTACATCAAGGTATTTGAAAAACCGGTAGTCACATGAAAAGGCTGCCCATCAAAGGCACATCTCTAATGAACTCTCCCATATCAGAGGGGGCTTGTGGGGGCCTGGCTTTAATGCCGTCTGTGTGGGGAGAGAGGAGCAGAACTACAAATCAGAGAAAGCCATGGTAGGGGAGGGAGGAGGGAGAAGGGGAGGCAGAGAAAAGAAAGGAGAGACAGGAGAAGGAGGAGGAGGAGGAAGCCCATTGGTTATCAGATGAGATTAACTCACAACCGGGACTAGTCCTCGGGCTTTCCGTCCATCAATCTCACTCTCCGCTCCAGGCCGAAGAAGGCCCTCATAAATGGACTACAATAGCACTTGATTTGAACAAGTGACGGATTACTAGCCACAAGTCAGTTTTACAGGACAACTAGAAACGATGACAAACACAGCGGAAAGCTCCAAATGTCATTTCAACTTCAAAAACAAGGATTTGTTTTCATAACTGGATCAAAGAATATGAATAAATATGTGCAGGAAAAGCATGTCCAGTTCTCAAAGGGAGATAGTTGGACCGACTGTCCAATAAACATGAAACAACAGCATACTCCGCTGCCCCCCCCCCCTCCCCCACCTCGCTCCTCCTGCCCCCACCTGGTCGCCCCCCCAGTTCTGCAAACAGCTTTGGTAATCTGGAGCGGAGCTTTTGCATTACGCTCCTGCAATAACCTTTAATTTCATGGTGTATTTGTTGCATTCACAGTGCGGACTGGATTACAACCGACAATCTTCAGACTTATACAGCAGAAATAAACTGCATGGAGAGATCATGATCTGCACCCTCCCCAGTACACCCACCCACCCACCCAACCGCCACCACCCCGGCTTTGTAGCAGCGTGCCTGCATGAAGGGGAGACCCCCACCAACAAGCATGCAGTTTACCAGCGAACAATTAGCCCCAGAGCAAGAGCAGGCCGCGGCACTGGCACATGTGGTTAAGAGGCGAACGCTGCGGGAGAGTGCCAGATGATGAAGGGATGTGGAGGAGGGGTGGGCGGGGGGGAGGGGGGGACGACACTGGGAAGGGAGGAGAGAGAGGGGGTTGCGTGTGCCAGACACGCGTTTGCCCAGGTTTTTTGGGGGGGAAGTTTACTGGGCATGTCCTCCGCCATTCACTTTCCGCTACTCTTTACAGAAAGGACAAAGACGGTTATTGCCCCCCCACCCCCCTTCCTCCCCCTCAATCCCAAGATGACTTTGACTGTTTTTTTTGAAGGACTGCTATGTGATGGCATCCAAAGGGTTGAGCCGCTCAGCCACAGAAAGCCAAGTTCTCTTCCCCCCCCCCCCCCCGGCCTCAGGCATCGCTCTGCCGCGGAGCGTGCCAAGTGGGCCCGGTGCCAGTCGCATTGGCAACCACAAGGGACCCATGTCTTTTTGCCTTGCCTAATGAAATGACAAAACAACAGATTTGCATATGTAGAAACAGGTGTTGTAACAGGTTTGACTCCTCTCGACCCCAGCCATGTTAAAAGAGAGAAGAAAAAAAACAAACTAAAAAAAAGTTTATGACCAACAGCTCGGAGGTATTTAGGCTCTAATGGGGACTCGAGTCTGCACCATCTGTACCGCTGCGTGCCAGAAGTGACAATCTAAATTAAAAACCACTCATCAAATATCATAAAAATAAACCATTGTTTTGCTGCCTCCATATGTTGCCGCTTTTTTATTTCCCTATCGGAGAGCAGCAATGCAGGCCGAGCTCCGAGGCCCGTAGCTGTGATCCGGGGAAAAGCCAGAGAGCCGCACGGTAGCCTGTAATTAGCCTCCAACCGATACGCTGTCTCCAGGCCCGAGCCCTGCGTCATCCTGCACATGATCCGAGTCCATCCTCGCCACATTACAGAGCAGAAAACCCAACAGCGCTGACGTGGTGAAAGCAAGGAAATTGTTTGTATAGTATAGGATTCATTGGGGGGGGTGATGGTGGGGGAGGGGGGGGGGTTGCCTTCGGAGCACACGCCGGGTGTGCAGATGGTCAAAGGAGCTCTGATCACTTCACTCTACTCGCTTGTAAGCAGATAACTGCTGTTATGTTTTATGCAAACACGCATTCGCCTTGACGGAATTAAAAACTGTTCCGGGACACATCCCAAACTAGCGGTGATGCCTCTTTGAGAATGTAAAATGTCTCTCCTCCTCCATTTTTGACCAAATTATGCCCTGGCCCAACGGGCTCGACCGGGGGAACATTCCTTTTGTCCTTTACTGAGAGATACTGTATGACACCCCATGGCCAAACCCACTCAACACTACCGCCCAACCCCCCCACTTCCATCTTTTTTTTTTTTTTTCCCTCTTCTTGTTTTTATTTCTACAAGTGAGAGAGAAGGAACAAACCTGAGACCGTTGTGACCCTGCGCGAGTGTTGTAACTTGTTCTGGAGCTACGCCGGCAGAAGGCGGCACCATATGCCCTCCGCCCCGAGCTGGATGCTCTTTCTGCAGCCTAATGTGCCTGTCAAAAACTGTTACTGTCACAAACTCCCACCCTCCCCACCAATGTTTTTTTCCCCCCTCTCACAACATGTTTGAAATAAACATTTGCCGTTCTGTGTTTTTTTTTTTTTCTTCCTTTATCCGTCTGTGCGCCTCTCTCGGGTGAAGAGGAAAGGTCCTCTGAGATGCTTGGAAGCGTTTGGTCTTGATGCATCTGCGTCGCAGTCGGGGGACACAACCAATCTTTTTATTTTATTTTTGTTACCAGTGCCCACCTGCTTTTCAGGCATTAATCAGGTCGGGATTAATCCAAAAGGTTTCCCTTTTTCAAAACGCTGTTGCCACGACCAAAAGATGTCTCAGAAGGCCCTTTTTCAACGATGCTTGACTTACTCTTGGCCCACGGGGGCTGCCTCTTATGACGTGTGACTGTTTATACGAGTGACAGGCCGATGGCTGAATGCGGTCGCAGCGACGGCGACCTTGCCTTTTACCACGAGTGACCCTCTCCTCTTTAATTCAGGGCGAGACACCAGCACGGACACATTGTTTTCACACCAGGAAACAGTTGCTGCTGTTGGTGTACTGTGATTCAAATGAGTACAAAGTGTATTGGATAAACACACCGACCAGTCAGTGAGTGTTGCAGGCCCAGCCAATGGCAGCCCGGGGTCTCAGCTCAACGGGAGACTTTTAAACTACCAGGTCACCGTCGAGACGGCGGTGCCAAGAGGCCAACTCTGGACCTTATGAAAAGGCATAAATTATCCGCCGCTGCTTTGAAGGAATACCGTGCAGGCAGGCCGAAAGTTTGTTTTAGAACTTAACATGCATGTCGCGTTGCGTTTCACGATCCGCCGCGCCGCGCGGGGTCACGCACACACCGGCCAAGAGCTACACTCCTCGCGGCTTTACGATCCTCCGAGGGAAGCGCCGTGACGTAAGGTGGGATATTTGCAAAACAATCTCTGCGAGATGTTTTGACGCTTGATTGTTCCGGCCTGAGTAAACACGTAAGCGCAATGGTCTTTATAGACTTGGCCGAGGGAACACAGAGGAGGAGCTCGAGCGAATTCTACGCGGCGGACATTTGTTTCACCTCGGCTCCTAATCGCGTGTGGAATCGTGGAGGAAGTAAGTCACCAGCTGACTCTTTCCTCAGATAGCTCCTTCGCTCACCCCCGTGTGAGCAGCCTGCCATCTAATTTTTCTAATCCCCATCCCCTGACCCCGCGCTGCACGGCTCTCTGCAGCCAAGGAGTCACAACGTTTCTCCCTCAGAGTCGGGCTTAAGAAGTGACCCAGAGAGCGGAACTAAAAAAGTCTGAGCCGTCTCAAGACTCTTAGTGACTGTGGCACACGAAACATCATTACTGTGATGAGGATAATTAGGGAGGGGGGGGGGGGGGGGGGACAGGGCGGCCTCTTAAGCATGTAATGCACTCTTTTTTCTGAAGAGGTCAATCTCTCCCAAGCTGACAGCTCGCAGTATATGATCCTGATAAACAAATACTTTTGCCCGCACAAAAGTGCCATTTAAAGGCCAGGACTGTCCACACAAAATCCATTCTTACCCGGAAGGAAGGTGGGGGGGGGGAGAGGGGGGAAGAAGGAAGGAGGAAAAAAGAAGAAAAAAAGGACCTGGACACCTCTGGGTGGCTTTAACTTGCATGGAGGGTGTCATGGAAACATTTTCTATGAAGTTAACTGGGGAAAAAACCTGAACATTTGGCATTTAATTGGCCTTGGAGGCTAAGTAACAGGGCCAAGTTAGCTCAGTCTGAAGAACTCACCGCGTAGCTGGCGTGGATGGGCTCAGTGACATGTTTAAGAAAGGGAAACTGGTGCACCACTCCCGTGTCTTTTTTAACCCGCCCCCCCCCCCCTTCCACCTCCCCAAAAAAATGCAGCAACACCTCAAGGGCCGCAAGAGCGGTCTGTTTCATTACAGAGGTGTCGGGGGATGGTGCAATTTCGAAAGCTAATCCATGAAGTGAGCATGTGTTTCATTGCCTAAGAAGTGCTCGGACTCAAAAAAACAGAATGAATTTCATCTGTGCAGAAAATCCGGCTTCCCGCGGACTCTGAGCGTAACTCTGCAGTCGCCATTTTGCATGTAGTCATCAGGGCTGTCAGCTAGAGCGGTCTCTGCATTCACACGGCACGTTTTCGTTCTTTTTCTTTTAAATGAAATGAAATCGCAAAGCATATTCGTCATCAGCAAAGGTGGAAGCGACGATTTCCACATCTAAAAAGATAAAATCATGCCCAGACCGGTGTTCACTGAGCTGAAAGCTGAATCTTAATATTGATAAATGATTGAAACGTATGACAGGGAATACACATTAATCCTGTGGAGGACATTCATTTTCCTATTACCATAATGTAGAGCACGACTGGCCGATGATGAATGCAGCAATCAAAAGACGGACGCAGAGTGGGGAGAGTCGGGGGGTAATAAGTGCACTCCTCCCAACAACGGTCAGTGTTGGAGGGAGACTAATGGAAAGTCTCTCCCCCATCTCTCCCACAGCCTCGGATGGGAGGGGGGGGGGGGGGTAAAGTGCTTCCGTTTTTCACCAAAATGCAAGTGACTTAACACCCGCTGCCGGGACAGCGGGGACACAAGAGAGGGATGCACGAGTTTTAAAACCGCTAAGAAACGATTGCAGGGAGCTCTTCAACAAAGGGCCGATTGTGTCTACGACATATTTCACGAGGAGCATTTATTGCCCGCTCGGCCCTTTGAAGAGGAGTGAGACCTGCTGAGTGAAGGGGAGAGGGGGGAGGAGGGCAAGAGGAAGGTGGGGGGAGAGAGGGGGAGGGAGGGGGGCACACCTGCATAACTGAGGAGGGAACACCTGTGCACCCTGCGGCTGGAGCAAGGAGGGGTTCGCTCCAACTAAACCAGGGGTGAGAGCTGATCATATGAGAGGCCCAGAGAGTTCGGCAGCCATCAGTGCCCCTCGTTAGCCTTTCTTTACCCCCCCCTAAAAAAGAAGGTACATCTATAGACTTTTCGGGCCACGGTGCGGGAGAGCGGTGGCGAGACACAGTTCGTGAAATAGCAGAAGCGCTTTCTGAGCTTTCACTGATTTGGTTGGTGAGTTAGAATTTGAGATCAAGCATCATGAATTCTGGTATATTCAACAAGCATCGCTGTTTGTATCCGGACAAAAATGGAGTATTAAAGTGGAGCATACAAGCACGGTAAGGTCTTGGCCGCTGATGTTCAGAGGTATTGATGGTGTAGGTAAAGCATTGATAATTAGAAACAACTGCAGCGTATGCCGTATGCATTCATTTTGTGCATGTAGGTTTCATCTCAACAAACTGTGACAGTGCTATTTTTAAAAATTATAAGGAATGATAAGAAATTAATATGTTAAACTCTACACCACCTTTGTGTGTCAGAGATGAAAATACCATGGCTACACTAAAGGAATTTCAAAGCGGCAGTAGAACTTGACAAATGAATAAGAAAAGATGAAATATGCATTCTGCATTTGATGTGGAAATGACCATCTGCACTGCACATAATTAATCCACTGTTTACTTGGTTTTAGTAAATACTACAATTATAATAACCAATAAACAGAAACAGATATTGAAATGGCTTTCAGTGAAATTAATGTAGATACAATTTGACATTATACCTCCTTCGTGGTGGAGAGACGAAATTAAAAAATAGAACACTTACTAATAACCAAATAAGACCTAATTCACCACATTTCTGCACGGACTTATTTTTTCTCCTTGTGTTCAATTAGTTTGAGACGTCACTCATCACTTGGTGATGAATACAAATAGCTGCGGAATGCGAGCTATCTGTAAGGGAAAAGGCTCGAACCGAGGCGCACATGGGCGACAAATAACTCGGGAGTTTCTTTTTGTTTATCGCGAGTCAGCGCGCGGCGCTCGGAGCACGCGACGCCGCGGGTGTCCGAACCCTAAACCAGGGTCCGAACCCCACAATATGCCCCGGGAGGGGGGTGGAAAATAACAAAGTGCACACCTAAAAAAAAAACAATCACAGTTTGCCGAGCGCGAGACAACAACGCGTGGGAACAACAAACTTGTGGTCCACTTCCTAATTACACGAAAGTCAAGAGGGAGCGCGCGCAGAGAAAGGACATGCTGCCGGGACAGGGAAAAGAAACTTACCAACACGAGAAAAAAATGGCAGGTAGCCTCTTTCTTTTTTTGTGAAGGAGTAAGAGGGAGTGGAGGAGGGGGGTGAATTTGTCCCTCGCCGAAAGGGAAAAAAGACACGCCAGGTGAGAGAAGTCGCCGTCCGTCTCCGGTGTTCGCAGCGATGTCTTTCACACGTGACCGTCCAAGTTCACCATAACGCGGATGAAAACCAACAACAAGCTGCAGAGTAAATAAAAAAGCACGGGTATTCCTCCGCTGGGCACCGCGGTCGGAGAGACGCACACTTTCTCTCTCTCTCTCTCTCTCCCTCTCCCTCTCTCTCTCTCCTGCTGTCTCCCGTCAACGCCGCTGTTATTACTAATGCAACAGAGGGAAAAGCGGTACACCGAGTCCTGTTTGAATGACGCGCAATGCGAAGAAGACGCGGCTTGTTTTCTTTTTTTCGTTTTTTTTTCTTGCGTTACGAACACACATCAAGCAGTATCCCAGCAAGCAAGTATATTTAAGACTAGAACCCACCCACTACACGCACACGCACGCACACACACACACAGACTCACACACACTCCCAGGGGAAGGCACTCGCTTGTGCGCGGAGGTGTGTGTTGTTATTTTTGGGAGTACTGCGACCCCGTGTGACGTCAGAGCCACCTGCTTCGTAAACAAAAAGTAATCCCCCCCAAAAAATTTATAAAAAAGTTTGTTTACCCGTTTTTCCAACGTTTTCAGAGGTGTTTTCTCCCGCGGGCCGGTCGCTCTGGGTCGGGGAGCCTCCGCGCGGTGGCCGTTCGTTGCTGTCGGGTAGCGAACCGGCGACCTTCCGGTAACGGGACGGTTCCCACCGACCCACAGACAGGCTGCGTGCGCCCGGTACCGCATCCGGGAATTTATGTGGTTCATAAGAAGCTTTGCACCGAGTGGTTTTGTTGCAACAACATCCAATTGCGTGAACAGCATAAAGAGACAATACAGAGCATTGATGTAACGTAAGAATTGAACTACTTTTTATTTAAAGCGACCAAACTGGGATTATTTCACTCTCTAGGCATTACAAAACTGTAAATACCTAAATTAATAAAACTGGTCAATCAACTCAAAAGAATGAATCAATATCAATAACATCGATGCAAAATTAAGAATTTTGATTGTGTAAAGCCGGAAACTGAACAGACTTTATCTTCACCATCCTTCAATGCACGATTGAAACCTCAGCATCACGTCTGTCATTTTTGTTCACAGGTTTTAAATTAGCCTTTATTTTCTAATGAATTTGACAGTATTCGGTTTGCAGTGAAACATGAATACATTATTGACGCGTGTATGCATTCAGTAAAATGATGGGGGATCAATAACGGTGATATCTTATTAAATATAACGATCGTCATACACAATTGCGATTTATAATGTAAAACACGTATACATACATTTCAACTAACCCCTATAGATGTCCAATAAAATCACGGCTAAATCAAGACATTATTATAAAGATGGAGATGCACTTTTTTCCTTATCCGCTCCACTGTCATACCTTCACAAAGTAATTCAGCCTATTTATTCATGTATTAGTAGATCATACATTTAACAGCGGTTAAAGGGCATTGCTGTCTTCTTTCTTCTTTTTTTAAACCGCTGAGACGTTCACGGTCAAGAAATGATTGTCCAGAATATTATCAACTGAAAGAAAGAAAGGTGGAAGGGGGGGGGGGGGACACGTTTTAAACATGTTACAAACGCCCGTCTTATTCTCTCTATTATCAATATTCAAAATTATATTTCATGTTGATTATAACGACTTTTATACTGATTTATTGTGGTAAATATAATTGGTCCACATTTATTTTTCTTTCGTCTGAATGTGTTTTCGCCCAGATAGTTATATTGACTAAAATCATAAAATAGTTGTCCTCATTAGTGATTGTTATTGATATAAATATGCCGTTACTATCCATGAAATCCATAATGTCCAAAGACTGGCCTGGCTTAAAAAAAGAAAATGAAGAGTAAATGATGATTCATGTGTTGTTCGAGTAAAAAAATGGGGTAGCCGTATAGTGTTTCTAGCATGCAATCATTTGTTTTAATGTTTTTTCGTGTTTTGTTTGTGTCATATCTCGTAATGCTAATTGAAAAATCCTCAAATAACAAGTAGGAGGAAACAGCTTCTAGGAAGTGGTGAGGATGCGAAGGGGAAACAAACTTGGCGGAAATGTGGTGGTTTGCTGCCACCTAGTGGTCACTTCTGATTGTTATTAAAAGTGTCCGAGGAAAACAAACGAAGGGATGGAAAGTACAAATTTAATCAATCTGGTATTTGCCATATTAGATTTCTTTTGTAATCTGATCACACAGTGCCATTTACTGATCTACATTAGACATGAAACTTATCTTTTGTTAATAAATTCAAAGGGCTGACAAAATAATTGGAGCAAACACATTTGCTTGGATAGTTGAAAAGAGGAATTGATCCAGCTTTTGATTACTGTGTTACTGTCTTCACAGCAGGTTATTCCCTCATTTGTCAGCTTCCTTTCTAGTTGTGAACCCTTGAATTGATTTTTTTTTTAAATCTAGTGTTGTCTGATTGGTAGCAGCTAAGTACTTTTTAAATGAATGAATGTAACAGTATTACGAATGTATACCTAAATATGTTCGCAGTTATTTAGAGAGTTGTATAACTATAGCATTTATAACACTAGTTTGTATACATCTGCCTTTACCAAAGTTGCAAATGAGAATTCTTTTATACTATTTAAAGACAAAAGGTGCAATTAAAACTAACAATAGAACCCTTGTCTTTAAGAAAACATGGAACAAAGGGTCCTTTGAGGAGAAAGAGTTGCTCACCTACCTGGAAAGGATCGTATAACGAGCCCTAAAGTCTATTTACAAGATATACTGGATATGCGGGTATCCAGTATATCTACACACACACAAATTCTACTCGCTACAAAGAACAGGACAATCCCTACTCTTCTCTTGCAGGATGCAATAGACCTGAACAATGAAGGCTGCAATGATACACAATGATACAAGAGGATCAGCAGGTATTCAATCACAGAATCAGCAGCAATAATTATCTGAGACATCATCGATGATAACACAACATTTTATTCTTCTTTTCTGTCTACAGGTGGAGGTCAGAGGTCAGATTTAGCTCATTTGGGTGCAGGTCAACTCACTGTAGGATCCAGGTGTATAAAATCATAGAAATCCCCTGAAACAGTGTTACTCATACCTGTCTGTGTACAATCATTAACTGAATAGTTTCTTATATAAAGGTAGCACATTGTTACAGATATTTGCTGTGTGTAACTGATTATAGCCTATGTGAACAATCACACCACCCTGATTGTGTCAGTATTTTGAGCTAAATGCTAATGTGCCTTTCTGATTTTCACCTAGTTTAATGATGATGATACAAAACTCTGAACAAATGGACATTTTGACCCGATGATGGCGCTAGAGGTCACAACAATTCATTTAGGAATCAATATCAGTGCAAAGTTAGAATAACTATAATATGAATGTGATCAATGGTGACATGTTTTAGTCTGGAGAACCAACTGTCTGTCTAGTTTCCTATTATGCAAATCCTGCCAGGAGCAACACCACCTTCTGGTATAAAGATGTCCAGCTACGTGTTTACATGCACATATTACAGTAAATCTCACAGTGATAAAATGATTTATGACCCGGAGACCTTGTATACCATTGTACTCATACTAAAACTTCCATTTCAGCCTTATCTTTATCGTGTTCTTAATTAAGCCACACTAACAAATCATTATTTTGGGGCACAGAATATTTTCACAAAATACAGACACCCCGCTCATGTGTTTCAAACATGTTCTTGAAAGTGCTTTATAAAAGCTGCGTTTCCCTTTATTTATTTGAGTAACTACCAAACACGTCGTACGATGATAACTGAGAGGATAACTGGCCTGCCACGGTCGAGTTAGATGTGTCCTATTAATAGGCCTGGCTCACGCTCCAAATGTCCAGCTGTAACCAAACTCCACCCGTCAAGTCACGTCCTCTCCCTGCTCCCCCTCCTGCAGTGCCACTGCTGCCAGGTCAGGGGCACTCTGGTCTGTGCCTCCCTCCGAGCCAGACGGACGGCAGGACGGGCAGACCCCCCCCCCCACCCGACCTCGCACATTATGGATGTTCTGCACATCCCACCCTTGGAAGAGGAAGGGGAGGCTATGGAGGTGGAAAGCCAAGGAAATGGGGAGCAGGAAGAGGGAGGAAAGGAAGCTTCGTCCCCGATGGGTTCCGCCACAGACGAGGAAACGGACGAGGACTCCGAACCGGAGCCCCCACCGGTCATTCGGAGGAAGGTGTCCTTCGCAGATGCGTTCGGCCTAAACCTGGTATCGGTCAAGGAGTTCGACAATCCCGAAGTGGCGGAGTCAGAAGTCAACCGGCACACCAAAAACGAGGCCACCCATCACCCGGAGGAGTTCTACGTGTCCTGTCTCTTCACGGTCCCCTCGTCCCCAGAGGAGCTAGAACAGAGGCTGCGAGAGCAGATGGTTGAGCTCGAAAGCATCGAGCTCCTGCCGGGAACCACCACGCTCCGCGGCACCGTCAGGGTGGTCAACCTCTGCTACACCAAATCCGTTTATGCCCGGATGTCCCTGGACCGCTGGACAAGCTTCTTTGACCTGTCAGCGGAGTACGTGCCTGGATCTAGTGATTGGAAAACCGACAGGTTTACCTTCCAGCACACTCTGGTGCCTCCTTTTGAAAGGGAGGGGACCAGAGTGGAGATATGTCTGCGCTATGAGACTTCAGTGGGCACCTTTTGGGCTAATTGCAAGGAGATGAACTATGTGCTGTTCTGCCACCAGAAGGGACACGTGAAGGAGCATGAGGTTCAGGTCCAGGAGGAGAGCATCGGCTGCAACAGCAAGAGGAGCTGTCTCAAAGCCAACAGGTGAGGGAAGCCAACTCGATCTTAAACACATCATGCCTGTGACAAAAGACGGCGCGATGTAGACGCGGTTTAAATGAATAGGCCTTTATTGGGATCCATCAATGCGCCCTTCGTGTAGAAGTTATTATCGTGTCCAAAAAGGGTCCCAACTTGCTCATTTGCCATGATAGGAAATTTGGCACAGTGCGAGTGTTTGAACTGTGCTGCTCACTTGGAGGAAGTTACAGTAAGCCCTTATGTAAGTCCTCTGTAATGGGTGTTCACACTGGAGAACACATACTGCCCATTTAAGGTGACCTCTTTGTCCAGGTTTCCATGACGTCTTTGTCTTTCTTGACTCCATTTCACAACATGCTTTTGTTTCTGCTTTCAGAAACGTCGTTCCTTATTATGTATCTATGCTTATTCTGGCTGACTTGCCTGAATTTAGAAGGTCTGGAAATGTGACGATACAGCAGACAAACTCATGATACACTGTTCATATTTAAATTGTCTTATATTCAAAAGCTGCTGGTACAAAGAGATGCTCTGTGCGAGGAAATAGGGATCACAGCTATTTAGAGTGTATAGTTTACATCTTTTACTGTGTTTCATAGGATCGTATAATGTGTAGTACAAATAGATGAATGAGGGGTTTTGAGGATCTCATTTTTGTTTTACTTTAGTTTAGTTATTCAAATGCAATCATGAATAAAATATATACACGTTTTATTTCAGTCCCTGGTTGAACAGGTACAACAGAATGTAAAAAGAATGGTATTTAATAGTTGTAAAATAATACCTGTTGGCTTCTGTGATGCTATGCTTCATTCTCAATCATAGGAGGGGATGTGCAGAGGAAAAGACCAGGAAGAGCAGTATCAGATCAACAGCTGTTGCAGGTGTGTATACTTAAAGGGGAACAACGGCCTCCTAAAAAATCCGCCCAGCATATTATGTTTTATGGCTTAACTGGTTAGATAGTAAAAAAAATAAGGCGACCTATAAAAACTACGTCAATAGATTTTTGTCGTCTAATTAAGGCACGGAGGGGAATAGTGTGAGGCGCTGTTCCTCACTGTAACTACTATGTGTGTGCATGCATGCACGTACAGGAATTGAGTGAGTGTGCATGTGTGCAAACACATTTTGACCCTTGCCCTTTTTCTTTTGCAGACGGCACACTTACAGCAGAGGAGGCTAACGGGCAGAGCAGCTCGGATGTACAGTCATTACTTTACTGGGAAGAGCACACACCTTTGGTGAGGTTCATTTATCATCTTCTCTCCAAGCCTGTGTAAAAAATGAAACGCCGACATCACCCGGAAGTAAACACTGTTTTCAGCAACACGACTCACAATCCGTGCCAGTCAGCGTGTCTCCCGCTGCAGATATAAACTGCAAATAGAAAAGAGGGGAAAGTGTGTGTGTTGTTCCTGCACCGATACAATAGCCGAGGCACAGTGCAGGGCCCCCAAAAGGATATGAAAGGTCAGCTAACCTGACACTTGAGAGCATGTCTGAACTATTAATAATGAATGCAACCTGCTAGTAAAGGTGCACTAAAGGTGATGATCTAAACAAAAATAGACTTCTGTGCTGAGGTTACAGCAGCGTTGCAATACATTGCACCATCACAGTACTGAATGGGCCATTGGCCATTAACCCTTTGCTTGACCTTTGGTCTTTTTGACAGGTGGAAAGCATAAAAAGCAGAAACAGAGCAGAGCGAATGGCACGTGTGCAGGGCTACCTCTCCCAAAGGGGGCAGCATGTAGCAAAGGCTCATTCCCACGACTCAGCCAATGGCCAGAAGGTTTCTCAGCCTTTGTCAACTCTGTGGGGCCACTCCTCAGGCTTCTTTCACAAACAGCAAAGGAAACACTCTGCAGAGAGTCCACAGGTGCTCACCTACCACCAGATTCCTCTGCTCACTCTGGACTGGAACAGTGACAAAGCCCGTAAGTTGGGGGCTGCTGACAGGGATGACATCCGGACTGGAGGAGCTAAAATGAACTCGGCAAAAGCGCCGCCGGAAAAAATGGCGGACACACATCCCGTCAGTGACGCGACGGGGATCTTTCGCAACGGTGCAGATGATACCTTCGATAAAAAAAGCTCTGTGTGCAATGTATGGCAGGCGTTTGTTAACGGGCTGAGCTGTGCGGACCAGTCGGGTGTTCCAGAGTCGGAATGGCTGCAGACCGCAGCGTTAGTGTCTCCCTCAAATGAAAAAGGGCCCAATGCCCGATGTGCAGCGAGCAGTCACGAGCATGAATGTCCGGTGGGCACAGATGCGCCCGCCACCTCGCACGCACACACCTCAGATTCATGTCAGCCGCTGTCAGATACTCGCCAAATAGCAACGGCCGATGTCGGCGTGAACAGCGAAGACCACCGTCCGGCGGAGGCTTGTGTCGGCACCCCGAGGGATGACACACAAGATGCATCCCAAAGGTCACAGACAAGCAGCGTAACAGACACTCCCCGGGAATTCTGCGTCCAGGCGGCGACGCCTGTGTCCGAGGGCCGCGCTGACAGTTCAGCTGAGTGTCACGAGCGTGCGATGAGGGAGCGAGAAAGAGAAGCAAGGGCAGAAGGAATGGGAAGAGATGGGCCCTCGGCACCGCGCGCGGCTGACTTTGTAACAAGCTCGGGGGAGTCGGGGGCAACAGACACGACGGCAACGCCAGAGTCTGAGAATGCCACCGCGGCCGATAAGATCTGGCGGGGAGCGCGGCCGGATGAGGGTTTTTCTCCGTGTAGGGACGGGGAGGTTAGAGGTGCCGCGCACAATGCGATGGATGACACCCTGGCATTTAGGGGGACAATCCGAAGGGAGACAGGGGACGGGGAGAGGTTTGTCTTTTCTGCATCCAGACAAGGAATGGAGGAGTGGAGTGTGGAAAACAGAGGAGCTGCAGATGAGGAGATATTTAGGCCACGGAAGACAGCGGAGTGCAAAAGCTCCCAGAGGTGTGCAGAGGAAAAGCAACAAGAGGAATTCAGGCTGAATCAAAACAGGGAAGATCCGTTACAGGCAAAGGAGAGGGGAAAAAAGGAAATAAGAGTTGCAAAGACAAATGCAGATGAATCTAATTCCAGCCAAACGTACGTCGGCCAAAGCCAAGTTATGGCTGGGGAATTCATATTGGAGGAATCAGAGAGGCAAGATGTTGCATCAAGTAACAAAGACGTCGAAGTATCCAAAAAGACAGAGGTGGAAGCTTGCTCTTGTACAGCAATCAATGAAATAAAGACACTAACTGGTGTAGAAGAGGGAATTATTCAGGGGTTAAATGAGGAACATCAACGTAATTCATCATGGAAGACGGGAAATACGTCAATAATTTTGGGAGTACATAATAAACAGACAACGGAGCACCTAACAGTGACACAAATGCAGGGAAATGCACTGGAATCTGAAACAGATGAACAGGCTTTAGTCTCAAATCAGACTGAGGAAGGAAAATATTTAAGTTACGAGGGAATAATTGCAAAGCAACTGGGAATAAACCGAGCGCCACCGTGGAGACACGCGGTGGAATCAAAGGAAATTAAAAAGGTCTTTCAAGGTGACCATGATACATTCAGACATTCTCTAACAGATAAATGCAGCCAAAAGCCAGTGGAGGTGAGATGGACTCATTCACAGGACGATACGAAGGGTCCCAACCAGGATGGAGGCCGTGAAACGACCCCAGAAGAAGCAAATTCGGAGACGAATGTTGCAAAGAAAGACACTTCGACGGAGCCTGAACACCGACCTGAGACATTAAAAAGAAGAAAAGAAGATTTGAGTCGGAGAGACAGGGATGATAGCGCGAGTATTGGAAAGCTGAAAATAGAAGTACCGGGGGAGTTGATGGGAAATGCGGAGATTGCTCGGGGGGAGACGGAGAATGCAGCAGCTGAATTGAAAGGACATGAGATGTCAGCAGAAGTTGAGAGCTCTTCACGTGTTGAATATAAAAAATTGTCAGCGGGAACAAAAGACCCTATTACAGCAGAAAGCGCCGCGGCCCTTGAGGCGAGAGAGTCTGGATGGGAGGAGGTGTTCATCGAAAGATTTGGAGACGATTTGGTCAGGAGGATTTGGGGGGAGGCGTTCTGTCGGAAAGAACGGGCCGCTAATAGAGACACAGATATTGTTGATGGGATGAGGGGGGAGCTGGCAGATATACCTGATATTGCACAAGATTGCCGTCATCCATTTGAGAAAGACTTCAACGATGCATTTGAGTCAGGTGCCCTTTCCTTAACGCATCTGCCCGCGGATCAAAATGTAAGTCAAGGCCTAGAGCCGACTCTAGCCACTAAGGGAAATGCATACCCGCCCGACGAGACACGTTCGTCACTCACCACAACGGCGGAACAAACTCGCTTCCTCTCAGCACCTCAGACAGATTTGAATTCAAGAGCTAATCTCTGTGGAGATTTCGGCCCCGTTTCAGCTGTTGGGAGCAGCCCGTCATTGACTGAAACAGGCCGACCAATAGAGGACTTGTCGGCCGCCCACGTGGAGGATTTTAATCCATCGCCCCACGCATCTCACAAACACCTGAGCTCCGCCTCCGACATGCTAAAAGAGACCCATGGCGTTCCGTGGAGGAGCGTGTTATACGCCCTCGGTCAAGTCACCAGACTTCTAATCTGCATCCTCTTAGTTGCTGGGTTCTCCCTCATCGTTTTCCTGTCCGATTTCCAAGCGTTCTTCGCGCTCTACGTGGTTTCATCGTGCTGGTGGTTTTATGAGTGGAAGCGACATCGGGTGATGAAAAGCAGAGGGATGGTGGCATAGGCAGAGAGTCTACAGGGAGGGAGCGCTGTCGGAAAAAGCCGCTGCGGGTAGAATTTTCCAACATCAGTGCATCACTCACCTGATAGCCGTCATGCATTCTATTCATTCGGGCCGGTGTGCCATTGTGAAAATGATTGGAAGCTACAGAAATGGATGCAATCAAACAAAATTATACCCCACAGCATTAGATGTGTGTTTGGTTGTGTGTTTTTCGGTTTGGGTGTTTCTTTGGGTGCAGTGGTTCCCAGCATTTTTTAACTAAACCAAGCAATTCCTGCTCGTGACCGATTGTTACTTGTTGCAAGTCTACAGATTATTGCCAGTTCATCCAAAACATGATTTAGAAAAACACAATTTGATGTAGTAGAAATTATTTTTACTATCATGTACATCTTGTTCCTTTGAATATTACTTGTGACCATGATGGTGGTCCCAACCAATCAACAAGGAAACTTTTCTTTTTAAAGCTTGATTATTAATTTAATAATAATAATTAATGAATAGATGTACTTTCTGTTGAATGTGTACTTCATGCTGATTTGTTTTCACAATTGTGTGTATAATATGTGTGTATATTTGCAGTGTTTTATGGGCACAATATCACTTTACAATGCACCAAATGGAAATAAGTAAGTATGTGTTTGATTATTATACACAAAGGGTGTCTGCAATAGTTGGGCATCAGATATTTGATGTTTATCTTTCCGTGCTTTTCTTCATTAAATGAAAAAAAAAACATTTCCTTTTCTTTTTTTCAACTTTTAAAAAAAACTTGCGTACTCATTTTACTTCAATACTTCGTATTTATACTGCATACCATTCATTTTTCACAACTATAGATTTCTTCCATTCACCCATTTTTTTTAAATAACTCAATAGTTCTGCTCAAAGGTCATTATTACCATATTCAAACTGTAACCTTAATCCTAAATCCTTCACTGCAGATTGGAAACAAGGAATAAAATTCTTCATGACGCAGATGAATGCTCGGGTCAGCATGTGTTGCCTGGTGGTGTGTTTGGAGAAGGCTATGATCCCAGTTGGCAGTCGTTCACATACTGAGTATTGTCGACCACAGGCTCCTTCAGTATCACTCATAAAGTAGGTCAGTGAGACACTGACTTTGAGACGTGACACATCACAGACTGGAGGAACTTCGCAGTTCTTCGTTTCAAGGAACTTCGGTAGCATTAAGAAAAAGGTCAGATGTGTGATCTTTGATTCATTTAAGCTTCAGTAGAATTACACGTTGAGTATCAGATAAATCTACTCTTTGAGCTTCAGCAGGCTGTCCTTAAGGTGAAAACCAGGCCTCCATCGCCGCCTGCGTCTCTAAGGAGCCGTTTATCGTTTCCATTTCAGTGCCTGCTGACAGGAGCTGGTGTAAGTGAAATTAACATAGTCCATTACATCCCTGCTCATGTGACTTACTAAATGCACTATATAACGGGCTTAACAACACAATAGGATCAATTTCAGGCTTACATCCACTGCTTTTACCAGATGCCTTTCCAAATAGATGCATGGCCTTTGGATAACACTTCATGGGAACTGTTATATGACAGCATGATGTCCGTATTGCAACATAGAATAACCACAAGCAAGTGCAACAAGTGTAAATAGGAAGAAGTGAATTAATTCGCTGTATTGAGGATTTATGGAAATGTAAAATAATTGTAATTAATAGAGTTATTATCCAAATATGTTTTAAGGGACACAGGGCCTTTCAACTATGATACTGATATGAACTGTTTGATATGCACTTTTTATGACAATTCAATTTATATATATACATCCACACTGTTACATACAGCGCCGGTTCATTGTGAAGTAATTTTTGTTATTAGTATCCCTCTGTTAGAATAATCGAAACTGACCTTCCTGTATCATATGCATCCATATGTGTCCGTGGGTGTTTTGATGTGTCTGTCAGTTGTGCGTGTAACTCCGTATGTACATATGCGTCCAACCTGAATACACTGATGGCAAAACCCCGCTGACAAAGTATCTGCACGATGATGGCTACATTCCAAATGGTAGCCACGGACAACCCTACAACAAGAAAACAAATAATCAAAACATAACCGAAATATGTTTTGGGCTAATTTCAGCTACATGGATTTTAGATTCTCGCGCACTTCACAGCTAATAATGTCCTCACACTTCATCTCAACTCTCATTCTGGTACTATATTTACACAGGTGCTTCAGTGCTGTTGTGTCACTCTACATATTATCTGCTTATCAAACGCCTGCAGATAAGTCTCCCCATGTGACACCGTGTGCGGTAAATTGGCGTTCTGAGTGACACTGCGCCTCAGCAGAAGTCACTTGATCCCGCCTGGGGTATGTTGACCTTTTGTAAGCTGGCACCAATCCCACGCTGGCACCTTTTAGCGAGCTGGCCAAGAGCCAGCGTTGGCACCGGTGAAGGCCGCGCTGCTCTTTGCAGGGCACTGCTTGGAGAATGCAGTGCACGCCGGGCCCAGCGTCTGCAGCGTGAGAGGAGACAAAAAAAAAGTAGCAATGACAGGAAGAAGGTAAAGAAAACAGGAAGGAATGTCAACCAGCTGGGGTCAGCCTGGGGTGCGAGGCTACTTATTGACTAAATCACATGCAAACAGGTACGAACAGAATCAGGTAGAGGGAGAAGGCTGCGCATGTATGAATCTATACCAAGAAGAAAAGCTCAAAATGACTTATTTATTTGCCTTTTCTTGAACATTCTGTGAAAGCTGTTGATTTCTTTTAAGAAAGGACATCTGTCTCACACTTCACTCACTCTTTTAAGATACTTTTAAAAGAAAATGAAAGCTACAACTCAAGGCTTTTTTATTTGCTACTTTCTTGCAATAGCTTTTACCCGTTTGTGTGAGGTCATTGAGGAGGCAGGGGACGACACGGTTTGTGAACACTGTGGACCCGTACCTTGTGATACCGAGGGCCTATCATCATACATTGATGCTCCCCTCATTCTCACATTACCGTGTGCGCACGGGATCGTGTTGGCATGTGTCTCTGTATACGTGCGTATGCAGGCAAACTATAATAAGGGTCGCGCCATCATGTGAGAGATATTCTCAGGAGAGCATTCCAATATCAGTATTCAACACAGGCTTCCTGTGGTCCGATATCTCTTTGATGCCTCAAGAGAGAGAGATAATAAAGTTAGTCCCGACAGTTGTCTTGGGATAATTTGGGGAATTTAATTCCATAACAAAGAAAACATTAGGAAGAAAGGAAGCAAGGAAGGAAACATGTTAGCCTTAAAGCTACCTGCAATAGAAACGGCATAAAAAAATAGTAGAAATGGCATAAAAAGATACTGAGATACTGAGGTTATTGCTTTGTATAGGTGTACGCCAAAGGATTACAGGTTATTTATTTATTTTTTCATGAAAACTTTTCTGCAATGCTCCATCTCTTCCAGCAGGTGGCAATGTAGCTCCACTTTTCAAACAAAAATCACGGCTAACTGTCATAACACAGGAATCACACACAGCCATAATAGTAACCTTGGGTGTATTGTTTTTTGTATGACGAATAGTCAAACACATGAAAGCGACAAACACATGACAATGAGATTATGTATTTATTTTTTGAAAGCCCTGTGGACGAAATCCGTGTGCAGTGAAGTGCACTGGCGGGGACAGGAGGGTGCACGAGGACACGCGAGGCGAGTGGATGAGAGCGCAGAATGAGGCAGGAGGAGGAGGGCGGCACGGGGCCACTCTGGCTGACAGGCTGCAGACTAGACAGACTGCACCGTCCACACTCCCCCCCGCCCAGACTATGGAGACACTTCTTCTTCACCCATCTCCACGTTGGGCCTTCGCAGCCTCTCTGCCGATCCCTCAAACCTTCAAACTTGCCTGCTTCCTCCCTCCAATCGCCAACAACTCCCCATGCCCCCTTCTCTCTTTACCCCCTGCCTCCATCTCTATACTCCATAGTAACTCCACATTCCCAGATGTCCGCTGGCTCCCGCATTACTGAGACAGCCAGGCTTTCTGCTGCTGTCACTTGGTAGCTGTGTGCGCGTGGGACACCGTCACCTCCCGTTCCTCACTGATTCAATGCCGTAAGATCCATCTGAGAAGAAGAAGGCAGATCCATCTGAGAAGAAGAAGGCAGTGGAGTGGTGTCATAAGGCCAAATTATTTTTTCCCTAGACACAATGTTTCTTTACGTGGTTGTTTTCACATACTAGCAACCCATGTAGTTTTTAGTGTTTTAGGCTGTTACTTTTATCAAAATATGGCCATATTTTATTTTTGAAAAAGGTCTTTGCAGTATGGACATATTACACTTTGAGAAAACACATTCCACGGTGTTGTGCTTTCATGGCTATGCTTTTCACATGTTTCACGGAGCTTACTTCACATGAGATGACGGTACCGTTTGTCATCTTGAGGGCTGTCGGCTGGGTTTGTTTCACCATGAGGAGGTGTGAGAAAAGAATGAGGAGGAAGACGAGGAGAGGAGGAGGAGGTTCAGATATTTCTCTCATGAGAAATGCTGCGTAACTGTATGCATGAGCTTATGTCCCGGCTTGGCACCAAACTTGAGTGCAATGGTGAATCTTTTCGCACCCAGCACCAATTTGAATGAGAAGAAAGCAAAAAAAAATGGAGGTAAACCTTAAACAGGCTAAAATACTCTCAACCCCAATGACATCACAGGTCCTGGATGAAGAGGGACTTGTAAAAATGGGCTATCTAGAGTGAATCACGATGAGCTGTTTCTTTTTTCTCGGATGTCCTGCAACCCTGTCAACTAATGCAAGGTGACATGCCATACCTGAGAAAATGTTCTGTTTCGGCAGCCTTCTCTGAACCTCGTAGAAAGCCGCGGTGCCAAGCAGTTCTTTGTTCTCTACGAGAAAACAAGCAGTGCAGCCACGGGCTGTTTTGTGCTTGGTATTTTCAAAGCAAGAAGCCCAAATTACCTTTTTTTTCTCAACAGCAAAAATCATGGAAACATGTAGTCATGCAACCCAAACATCCGTCCATTACATGCAATAAGCAGAGGCTGTAGGGGTTCTTCAGAATCCTCATGGCTTGAAAAGTCACTCTTTAAGTTACTTCATTTTCACATAGACAGCAAGACTTGAACTGTTAATATTGTGGTTTACTTCTGGATGGCATTATAGAAATTGGTCAAAGGATACGTTCTTTCATTTGACAGTAAAAAAAAAAAAAATACACCAAGCCAAAGGAAAAAAAATGTACGAAAAAATAAAGCAGAAGAGGAACATTGAAGTCTCCTCAATGTCCAACCAGTAAAGTACGTCCAATGAAGTATGAATGCAACCTTTGTAGTGGTGAAGCTGTCCTGTGCAAGTGAAATACCATCCAAGAGGAGGTGGAAAATATCAGCTCTCGACAAATGTTAATCGCTTTAAACATCGGGAGAAAATTCACACTTATTTTCCTCATTGCAGATAGACGGGGCAGAAACTCATGAGCATAGCAACACGTAGGCAGCAAACAACCCATAATGCTCAACGCTCAACCTACAACACAAAGAATTCTTTCAGTTAAAATGTGCCTGTTTCTCAGAATTACATCTATCAATAAAAATGCTTTTCTAAAATGTCTATTAAATACTGATGTTGTAAATACGAGGCTAGTGTATGGACAGAGGACTAATGGAAATGCCATCATCCATTGTTTAACAGCATTGCTCAAAAATCCTGAGTGGGTAGAAATGTTCAGGTACGAATGCTCCTCAGTTAAG